GCCCCAAAATTCATCAATTATTTAATTTTTATTTTATTATTATTTTTTTAGAATTACTATTTTATTTATTTATAAAATAAATCTTCCGGACCAGCAGGTGGCATGGTGGTTAAAGGCACCGGACTTCCACATGGCAGTTCTTGGTTCAGGGCCCTGGACCTGGCAGCTTGCTTTCTCTCTCACTCTGTCCCTCTCTGGTCAGACTAGAATAAATGAATAAAGTTAAATAAAATAACATTTTTAAAAAAGAAATCTTCCTTCCTTTCTTTCATTTCTTAATTTGACCAGAAAGGGACAGAGTGAGGGAGAGAGAGGGAGAGAAAGAGAGAGGGAGAGAGAAAGAGAGAGAGGGAGAGAGAGAGAGAGGGGGGAGAGAAAGTGAAAAAGGAGGCCGTCAGGTCCAGGACTTCAACCACAGTCCAGCATCCTTAACCACCACACCACCTGCCGGCCCTGAAAAAATAATCCTTAATATATATATAAAAAACTAGAAATGGAAAATGTTTTACAATAACATACATGATTAAACCACTATGCAGTAAAAAATAATAATTCTTAAGATAAAAGGGGGGGCTGGCAGGTGGCATAGCGGTTAACAGTGCTGTCCCACATGGCCAATTGTAGTTTGAGTCCCGGACCTGGCAGCTTCCTTCCTCATTGTCTCTCACTCTGTTCTTCTCTGGCCAAAAAAAAAAAGTAAATGAATAAAGTTAAATAAAATATTTTAAAAAAGAATTATTTTCTTTAACTTTATTTATTTATTTTTAATTTGATCAGAAAGGGCAAGAGCGAAACAGAGAAAGCTGCCAGGTCTGGGACTCAAACTGCGGTCATCCATGAGAGAATCCAGTGTCCTTCATCACCATGCCACCTGCTGGCCCCAAAATTACTATTTTATTTTATTTATTTATTTAAATTTGGCCAGAAAAGGACAGAGAGAGAGAGAGAGAGAGAGAGAGAGAGAGAGAGAGAGAGAGACCCCAAGGAAGCCTCCAGATCCGGGACTCAAATTGCAGTCAGCCACGTGGAAGTCCAGTGCTCTTAACTATACCACCTGCTAGCCCCACCAATTTTTTTTTAAGTAATTATTTTATTTAACTTTTTATTTATTTATTTTAATTTGACCAGAGAGAGACAGAGTGAACGAGAGAGAGAGAGAGAGAATGAGAAAGCAAGCCGCCAGGTCTGGGACTCAAACCAAGGTCGGCCATGTGGGAGTCCAGCGTCCTTAACCACCAAGCCACCTGCCGGGCCCTAGCCCCACCAATTTTTTAAAAAATAATTATTTATTTCAAGGCCAGTAGGTGGTGTGGTGGCTGGGACACTGGACTCTCCCACATGGCCAACTGTGGTTTGGGTCCTGTACCTGCTGGCTTGCTTTCTTACTTTCCCTGTCTCTCTCTGGTCAAATTAAAAATAATAATAATAATAATGATAAATAAAACTAAATTTAAAAAAGAATTATTTATTTTATTTATTACTATTTTAAAATTTGCTATAGGGCACATGCACTCACCAGAGACAGAGAGAGAGGAGAAAGTGAGAAAGCAAGCTGCCAGGTCTGGGACTTGAGCTGCAGTCGGCCATGTGGGAGTCTAGCACCTTAACCACTTTGCCACCTGCTGGCCCCAAATGCCACCAATTTTAACATGTATGATTCTGTGATATTTAGTCCATTCACGCTGTTGTAGGACCATCATTATCCAGTTCCAGAACATTTTCATGACCCCAAAGGAATTCCAAGCCCTAGCAGACACTCCTATTTCACCACCTCCCAAGATTAGCCTCCAACCTACTTTCCTGTCTTTGTGGCTTTGCCTCTTCTGGATGGTTCATACTCATGGAATCAGGGTATGTGGCTTTTTCAGACTTTATTAGCTTCATATTTTCTACATTTTTCCATGCAGTAGTATGGATCATTCATTCAAAATTCTTTTTAAATAATTATTAATTTATTTATTTTAATTCGACCAGAGTCAGAGAGAGAGGGGACATGAGAAAGCAAGTCACCAGGTCTGGGACTCAAACTGTGTCTTGCTATGTGGGAGTCCAGTGCCTTCACCACACCTCCTGAAACTTTTTTTTTTTTTTTTTTTTTTTATATAGGCAGTGCGCTCCCCCGAATTTTTTTTTTTTACTATAGGCAGTGCGCTCACCAGAAAGACAGAGACAGACAGACAGAAGGCAATCAACCACACCCTGCGGGGGATGGCCATGCACAATCCCTTCTCCTCCATTCTCCTCTCAGGATCTTGGGCACGCACGCACACGTGCCAGATCTGAGTTTATGCCACTGTGTCCAGGACTCGAACTACTGTTGACTCCATGGGAGTCCAACGACAGCCATTATACCAACTGCTGGTCCTCCTCCTGAAACTTGTAAGGGGTCTGGTTTGGTTTAGTATCCCTTTTACTGCTGTGAAGAGGTGGGCTGGAGAGAAGCCAGGGTGCTAGTGCTGTAGCAGGGGCGAGACTGAGGGTGGAAATGTGGTTAAGCAGGCTGCATCAGAAATGGAGAGAGGCTTTGCAGACCATTTCCGGGCAGAATGAAAAGGACCGGCAGATAGTTGAAGGGGAGGAGGAGAGGAGTAGAGCCCAGTGCCCAGGAAGTCCCCCACAGGGTGGAGGGTAGGTAGGGGAACAGGTATGGGGGAAATCAAGAAATCCATTTCAGGTTCTTTAAGCCTGAGATGTCCAATCAGAACTGTTCAATAGACAGCAGAAATTTGAATCTAGAACTTAGCAGGGAAGTCAGAGTTTAGCAGGGATAAAAATGTAAGGATGACAAGCCAGAAGATCATCCAAATCCAGGAAAATACGCATACACTGTATGCATTATAATAAGACCATTTCCCACCCTCAGGGTGTCCAGGAATAAGAGGTCCATAAATCCAGTTTCTGAGCTCCCAGGAAAAAGCAGAATATCTGCATTTGAATGAGTATTCAGCATTTGTAAAGACAGCCTTCAGCACCCTCTGGGAACTGTCCCCCAGCCCTAGTCACACCTATTTGCATTTCTATTGCTCCAACAGCCGGCCCCCATCCAGGTGACACTCACTGAGGGTGCAAGGGAAAGGATTCTTAAGTCTTTCAATCAAAAACTCAACAAAGTGAGGATCTCGACTCAGCTTAAAAGTGAAAACTGCTCATCAAGGCCACTTAAATTAGAAAAATAACATATCTGGGGGTCAGCAAGTGGCAGTAGTTGAGGTGCTTGACACTCCCATATGGCTGACTAGGATTCGAGTCCCGGACAGGGTGGCTTGCTTTCTCACTTTCCCGTCGTCTCTCTCTGGTCAAATTAAAAAAAAAAAAAAAAAAAATCAGGGCTGTCAGGTGGTGTGGTGGTTAACGGTGCTAGACTCCCACATGGCCAACGGAGGTACTAAAACCAAGCATGGACCCCCTAACGTATTTTCTAAGGTTCTTGAAATACAAGGTCCATTTACATTGTAATGGCCCAGAGTAAGAAGTAAGTCTTCTGACTTTGGTTATGATAATGACCAACATGGACCATGAATGGGGGCCATTTGCCCTCTAAAACTCCTACTAAAAGGAAAGATAAGGTTTTCATTTCAACATGTAAGATGTTTTATAGGCTGGAAACTGCTGGCTGTGAGCTCAGAGACTCCAGGCTAAATGGCTCCAGACAATTGAAGAGAAATTTGATTATTTTAAGGCCTCACCAATCAAGAATGCCCATGAGATGATCCCACCCTCTTGATTCAATCACTGAACTGATCATGTGCCTAGGATCTCTGCCCCTACTTTTGCCCTTAAAAAGGCATGTGAGGGAGGGGCCAGAAGTCAGTGTAATGGCTGTCACTGAACTCCCTTGTAGTCAATCATGGTCTGAGAGCTGGACCCAGTCGCTTAAACTCACGCTGGGTGCATGTGCATGCCCAAGATCCGGAGAGGAGAACGGAGGAGAAGGGATTGTTGTGTGGCCATCCCTCCTGGGGAGTGATTTCTCGCTTTCTGTCTCTGTCTCTCTCTGTCTTTCCGATGAGCGCACATGCCCTACAGCAAAAACCTCGCCCCACCCCCCCAATAAAATAGTCTAGGGATAAGCAGGTGGTGTGGTGGTTAAGGTGCTGGACATTCCCACATGGCTGACCACGGTTTAAGTCCTTGAGCTGGTGGCTTGCTTTCTCACTTTCTCTTTTCTCTCTCAGCAAATTAAAATAAATGAATGAATAAATAAAATTAAATAAATAATTCTTATAAAAACAATTTAGAAAAAAGTTAAATAGTCTAGGGGCCGACAGGTGGCATGGTGGGTAAGGTGCTGAACTCCATATGGTTGACCAAGGTTCAAGTTCTAGACCTGGCTTGCTTTCTCATTTGCCCTTTCTCTCTGGTCAAATTTAAAAATAACAATCAATAAAATAAAATAAAACAAATAATTCTTTTTTAAAAAACAAAAACAAGTAATTCTTTTTTTTTTTGGAGAGGTTTTTGCTATAGGGCGTGTGCGCTCACCAGACAGACAGAGACAGAGAGATAGAACGTGAGAAATCACCCCCCAGGGGGGATGGTCACGCCGCAATCCCTTCTCCTCCATTCTCCTCTTGGGATCTTGGGCACACATGCCCACAACGTGAGTTTAAGCCACCGGGTCCGGGACTCGAACCACGGTCGACTACGTGGGAGTCCAACGACATAGCCATTACGCTAACTGCTCGTCCCAACAAATAATTCTTTAATAAATGTAAATAAATAGTCTATTATCAATCAACCTATAAAACTCTTTCAGAAGACTTTTCCACTATTTGTTAACACATTTTACAACCTAAATTAATGTTTTTCAACTAGCCACAGTGGCGATCTGAGAGCTGTGTACAGGGCCCGAGATCCTTTAACCACGGAGAATACGAGGGGGTGCGGATAGGAGGACAGGAGGACCCGGGACGCTCCCTGCCTCGCCTCGCCTGTGGCTCTGCCGACTGCCGTAAGTACAGAGGAGCTGAGGCAGCTCAGACTGATGAAAAGACATCCTCCCTAGGATCACCGCTTCCATGGTGATGCTTTTATTAAAAGAAAAACTATTCGATACACATGATAAGAAATTAGACTTTTATCAATACACAAATAAGTTTACTTAAAATCAACCCAGTTGCATGTTTTTTAAAATCTCAGAACCTCTCCCACCAATGTCCGCAATGTAGAACAGGCCCAGGAGAAACCACCAGCTCTACCTAGAAGCATCGGTACGCACTGACAGTCCGGGTACCTGCTGACACTGTCCTCTCCACACTGAGACGGTCAAAAACAAAATGGCTTTTTTGCCTGGATGAACAGAAGAGTTCTTACAAGAGAACTTCACAAAATGTCTGTGAAGGACAACTGGTAAATCAGAAGAGTTCCAGCACTTCAATTGAATATAGTCCTCTATTATTCTTTTCCTGATTCAATTTCTGTAGCTCCCGAAAACTTACTTCTATCTTGTTGAGCTCTGAATAAACACATATCTAAAGAAAAAAGAGGCAGAGTAAGTTTACTGTAACTTTCATATGTAAGCAAACCCTCTATAATTACTAATAACCATCCCAAGGAAAAAAATGTAAATAATTGTACTTTAGAATTTTACTTGGCTAAAAATACAATTGGCAAAATCAAATAGTCACGGACCTGGGATTTCACAAACTTGTATAGATTTATCAGCAGCCGTTTGGCTTCTGGTATCATTACCACGACAGTAAAATTAGCATCTAGAAGTAGACATATCCAATCCATAATCTGAGAATAAACGAGAAAGGAAAAGGTAATATTTTAAGTTTAATTTTAGGTTAATTCACTTAAAAATTATTTCATTTTATTTATCATGATTATTATCATTTTAAAAATTTGCTACAGGGCACACCTGCTCATCATGTCTGGGATTTGAACCATGACCATCCATGTGGAAGTTTAGCACCATAACCACCACCCTGCTACCTGCTGACTCCCAGGTTAATTTATTTTACAAAGCTCATAAATATATCAAACAATCAGAAGAAAAAGAATTACTTATAAAAGTCTGAACATTGTAGTTTAGAGACAGAAGAATTTATAAGAAACATAAAAAGATTCTTCTCTGGGTTTTAAACTTGTTATTTTATAAACATAATTTGGCTCTTAAAAATATTTTAATTTTATTTATTATTATATTTCAGTTTTACCAGTGAGACAGAGAGAGAAGGAAAGTAAGAAAGCAAGCCACCAGGTCCAGACTTTTTTTTTTTGAGAGTTTTTTTTCTTTTTTTTTGCTATAGGGCGCGTGCGCTCGCCAGACAGACAGAGACAGACATAGAGACAGAAAGCGAGAAATCACCCCCTAGGGGGGATGGCCACGCCGCAATCCCTTCTCCTCCATTCTCCTCTCGGGATCTTGGGCACACATGCACATGCCCCCGGTGTGAGTTTTAAGCCACCAGGTCCGGGATGCAAACCGCGGTGGACTACGTGGTAGTCCTGCCACATAGCCATTACGCTAACTGCTCGTTCCCCAGGTCCAGACTTGAACCACAGTTGGTCATGTGGGAGTTCAACACCTTAACCACCACACCACCTGCTGGCCCCCAAGATTTATAAATTTTATCTTTATTTTAATTAAAAAAAATTATTTAATATTATTCATTGTCATTATTGTATTGTATTGTTTTGAAGTTGACCAGAGAGACAGAGATAGAGAAGGAAAATGAGAGAGTAAGCTGCCAGGCCTGGAACTCGAACCATGGTCAGCCACGTGGGAGTCTAGCTACCTTAACCACTGCGCCACCTACTGGCCCCAAAATAAAATAATTCTTAAAAAAAAGCCCCAAAAAACAGGGACCAGCAGCTGGCATAATGGCTATGTCGTTGTACTTCCATGTAGTTGACTGTGGCTTAAACTCACGCCAGGCATGTGTGCATGCGTGCCGAAGATCCTGAGAGGAAAATGGAGAAGGGACTGTGGTGTGGTCATCCCCCTCGGAGGGGTGATTTCTCGCTTTCTATTTCTCTGTCTCTGTCGTTCTGGAAGCGCATGCACTCTATAGCAAAATCCTCTCATAAAACAAAACAAAACAAACAAAAATGACTGTGGCTTAAACTCACGCCAGGCATGTGTGCATGCGTGCCGAAGATCCTGAGAGGAAAATGGAGAAGGGACTGTGGTGTGGTCATCCCCCTCGGAGGGGTGATTTCTCGCTTTCTATTTCTCTGTCTCTGTCGTTCTGGAAGCGCATGCACTCTATAGCAAAATCCTCTCATAAAACAAAACAAAACAAACAAAAAAAATAAGGTCTACAATAAAATTCCAAAAGAACATTTTCCCCCATGAGCAAACAATTATCAGTCCTTTCCTGACCTCTCGCAATAAGGCTAACGAAATTCTTAGAAAGGGTCATAGCGAAGCATCAGGAATTTAAGATGAATCTAAGTTGTGCAATATAGAATTACAGATTTAGAAATCTACCCAGTGGGGAACCAGCAGTTAGCGTAATGGCTATGTCGCTGGACTCCCATGTAGTCGACCGCGGTTTGCATCCCGGACCCGGCGGCTTAAAACTCACGCCAGGCGCGTGTGCGTGCATGCCCAAGATCCTGAGAGGAGAATGGAGGAGAAGGGATTGTGGCGTGACCATCCCCCCTCGTGGGTGATTTCTCGCTTTCTGTCTCTCTGTCTCTGTCTGTCTGGCGAGCGCACGTGCCCTATAGCGAAAACCTCTCCAAAAAAAAAAAAAAAAGGAAAAAAAAAAAAGAAATCTACCCACTGAGTTGACACTCTCTCAACATCTAATTCCATTGGATTTGCTGGCTTGTGTATGTGATGAGGGAGGATACATATATATCTATATATATTTAATTTTATTTATTCATTCATTCATTCATCTATTTATTTCAATTTGACCAGAGAGGGAAAGAACAAGAGAGGGAAAGTGATAAAGCAAGCTGCAAGGTCCAGGCTCAAACCACAGTCGGTCACGTGGGAGTCCAGCACCCTTAATCACCATGCCACCTGCCGCCCCAAGGGAGGATATTTATATGGACTAGGAAGCAAGGAGAAATCAATTACTGAATTCCAGATATGACACTGTATATAATCTTATAAAATTTTAAATTTGGGGGCCAGCAGGTGGTGTGGAGGTTGAGGTGCTTGACTCCCACATGGTTGACCAAGGTTGAAGCCCTGGATCTGGTGGCTTGCTTTCTCGTCTGTCTGTCTGTCTGTCTTTCTTCCTTCCGTCCGTCCTTCCTTCCTTCCTTCCTTCCTTTCTTATCTTTCTCTGGTCAAATTGAAAAATGACAATAATAAACAAAATCAAATAAATAATTATTTAAAAGGAAGAAAAAAAAATTTTTTTTTTTTTAATTTTTGGGGTCAGGACGTGATCTATTGATTAAGGTGCTGTTCTCTCACATGGTCAACTGTGGCTTGAGTCCTGGACCCCATGGCTTGAAACTCACACCGGGCGCATGTGAGTACATGCACAAAATCCTGAGAGGAGAAGGGTTTGCGGCATGGTTATCTCTTCTGATGGGTGAATTCTCGCTTTCTGTCTCTCTGCCTCTTCAATGAGGGCATGTGACCTATTGCAAAAATCCCTTTCTCACAAAAATAATTAAAAAAAATTTTTTTTAAATACCAGAGAATGTGTACACCTGCCAGAGAGAGAGGAAAGGAAGAAAGCATTCCCCGAAGGGGCATGACCACACCGTAATCCCCTCCTCCATCTCTCCACCCTGTGGAGATCTGGGGCATGCTTGCACACACATTTAGTGTTGTTTTCAAGCAGGCAGGGCCAGGACTCAAACTGTAGTCAACCATCTGGGATATGGCATCCCCCAACTACCAGGATGTAAGGTTAACCTCCTATATATTCTTTTTCTATTTTTGAAAGAATCATTTTATTTTACTTTATTTATTTATTTTTAAAATTTGAACAGAGAGGTTCAGAGTGAGAGAGAGGGAGAGAAAGTGAGAGAGCAAGTTGCCAGGTCCGGGACTCGAACCATGGTCAATCATGTGGGAGTCCAGTGCCCTTAACCATCACACCACCTGCCGGTCCTTCTATATAATCTTTCATACAGGAAAATTATCTCACCTGGTTCAGGGTTGGAGGGTGTATTCCAGGAAGAGTCATGGTAGCATTTTCGCTACACTTTAGATAAAGGAAATACAAATACTGGAGAAACAGCTGGGTGGGAAAAAAAAAGAGGACAACTGATCACTTAGAAAGATGTTCTCTATACATAAACCTAACCAAAGAAAAAGACTAGAAAGACATTTAAGAGGCTATTCAATTAAACTTGTACATCAAACAAATGTGGCAACATCTGGGACACATAAACGAGTCAACGTAGCCCTTGCTCTCGGCGAGGCCACCGCCTGGGTCGGGAAGTCAGAGGTGGTAAGCTTTCTGTTCACAAACAGGGACAGAAGAGAATCCTCCTCCCAGCGATTCCTCTCAGTGTCAATCACTTACAACCCGGACGCCTTAATCCGGCCATCAAATTTGGCATGGGGATACACCAAAGTTCCCAAGAATCACTCCAGTTTCTTCGACACAATTCTTTACCATGAGGGCCAGGCAATCTGGTATCTACCTGAAAGATTTTGAAAACCTTTCAAATGTCCTAACAGCTGGTTAGACTTAGGCAGCAGAACTGAAACCAGAAAGAAGGTTCCGCAGCCCACATGGGAACACTTACAGTGATATGCTGTGCAGGGATGTCTTTCAAGTGAGGCAGGAGAAACGTCTCACTGTATGCTGAATGAAGAACTGCATTTCTGCATTTCAGGACTGAAGGAAAATCTTACTGCAACCACTAAAGACTATTCTACTGCTAACACAAGTAATTCCTTTTCCAGCGATGTATTTCTTTTTAAAAAATTAGTTTTTATTTAGGCATTCATTTATTTTAATTTGACCAGAGAGAGACAAGAGAGAGAGAGAAAAAGTGAGAAAGCAAGCCACCAGGTCTGGGACTTGAACCGTGGTCAGCAGTTTGAATGGGAGTGTCCAGCACCTTAACCACTACACCACCTGCTGGCCTCCCCAGTGATATATTTCTCAATTTATACAAAAGTTTAACTTACCTAAAAGAGCTCTCTATGGGGCCAGCAGGTGGTGTGGTAGTTGAGGTGCTGGACTCCTCATTGGCCAACTACAGTTCAAGTCCCAGACCTGGAAGCTTGCTTTCTCACTTTCCCTCTCTGTCTCTGGTGGGCACAAGTGCCCTGTAGCAAATTTAAAGAATTCTACCACCTGACACATTCTCTCTCTTTTTTTGGGTAGTTTACTATAGGGTGTGTGTGCTCGCCAGAGACAGAGAGCTAGAGAGAGAGAGGAAAAGTGAGAAATCACTCCCTGGGGGGATGGCCACACTGGAATCCCTTTCCCACCACGCCTCCCTCAGGATTCTGGGCACACGAGCTCATGTGCCCGGCAAGATCTTCAAGCATCTGCCAGGACTCATCACCACGTCAGGCATGCAGGATCCAGCTCCTTAGTCACCGGGAGGACCCGCTGTCCTCCCACCCTCCTAATCCTTGGAGATCATGTGGAATATTTTACGGTACAAACAATTAGTATTTATTCAAAATACTGACTTTTAGCCTTGATTAAGCTTCTGCCTCTGTATAGCTTCTTAACTGAGAAAACACATTTGTCAGAACGTAGCATTAAACATTATCTATTTTTAAGCAGAAGCAGAACAACTGAAAAATGAAAGAAAAACCTTCAGTTATCTAAGTACTCCCTGGTTACTGCTTTGCCTGTGATCGCAGCACTGGAGAAACAGGGACACTGCTCCAAAGGATACAGAAGAGCGGCTCTTTTTGGTATCACAGGACAAGAGCTCTCCTCCGCTGTGTCCTGAGGCTTCTCGTGTAACTCTTGCTCACAGTTACTGTGGTTATTCCCTTCAGCAGTGAAGCCGTTTTGAAGAATTTCAGTTTGCCCTTCTCTTTTCTCAACTTGTGCAGTGTGGCTATGGTCAAAGACGGACTCCATATTGATGTCTGTTTCGTGAAGACTGTCATCATCAATGCTGTGATGTTAATTCAAAGAAAGACATTAGTCCTTATCACTGAGCTTACGAAAAAAAGTCATTTTCTAAGCATTCGATGTTTTAAAAAATCGGCAGATGGCATAATGGTTATGTTGCTGGACTCCCACATAGTAGAACACAGTTTGAGTCCTGGACCTGGTGACTTAAAACTCACACTGGGAACCAGCAGGTAGTGTAATGGCTATGTTGCTGGACTCCCATGTAGTCGACTATGGTTCGAGTCCCGGACCTGGTGGCTTAAACTCACGCCGGGGGCGTGGGCATGCATGCCCAAGATCCCAAGAGGAGAATGGGGGAGAAGGGATTGCGACGTGGCTATCCCCCCAGGGGGTGATTTCTCAATTTCTGTCTCACTGTCTTTCTGGCGAGCGCACACGCCCTATAGCAAAAAACCTCTCAAAAAATAAAACAAAGCAAAACAAAAAAACACCTCACACTGGGCGTGCGTGCGCGCGCGCGCATGTGTGTGTGTGTGTGTGTGTGTGTGCTTGCACAAAATCCTGAGAGGAGAATGGAGGAAAAGGGGTCTCCCTCCAGGGAGATGATTTCTTACTTTCTGTGTCTTTGTCTCTCTCTGGCAAGTGCGCATGTCCTATAGCAAAAATCTCTGGAGACAAAAATAAAAAAAAAAAACAAAACACTAGAAACAAACAAAAAAGTAACAGGGGACCAGCAGTTGGTGTAATGGCTATGTTGCTGGACTCCCATGTGGTCAACTGCAGTTCTAGTCCTGGACCTGGTGGCTTAAACTCATGCTAGGTGCGTGTCCATGTGTGCTGAAGATCCCGAGAGGAGAATGGAGAAGAGATTGCGATGTGGCCATCTCCCCTGGGGGGTAATTCTCTCTTTCTGTCTCTCTGTCTTTCTGGAGAGCGCATGTGCCCTTTAGCAAAAAAAAGTAACAGAGGAAAAAGAATCACTCAGTTCTAACTTACCTCAAGAAAATTTTTAAGCAAGTGCATGTGATTGATTCGGGAATGTCAGGGAACTGATGTAGACAGAGCTGTAACAACTGTACATCTGTCTTTTCAATGGCAACTTCCATTAAGTCAGGGCACAGGCTGAGAAAAAAATAAATCAGAGTCATAATCATATATTAAGGAAAATGTCAACTGCGGGTAATTTATAAGCTTTTTCAGAGTTCAAAAATCACAAGGGTAAAACCAAGGTCAAGTTGGTTATCCATGTACAGTTTTGTGCATAAAAACATCTACCTGTAGGAAAGCACGTGTGTTTGGATGAGTTGCATCAGACAGTTCCGGGGGTAAAATGATGGTTCTGCTTTACGTCTTCCCAGAAGTTCTGTCACTATATCCCCGATTTGAGTATGAAAGTCAGGTGTCCGTTTAGCGGCCAAAAATTTACGTAGTTCTACTTCGATGTGTTTTTCTGAATCTTTCTGAAAAGGCAGAACTAAAGAATTCAGTCTGGCACAATAACCTCATACTGAACTTAAAACTTCCTAACACAACACTTTCTCAAATGGCTAACAGTATTCATGCATTCTTGTGGTATGAGTTTACACTACAATTTCCTATGTCAAGAACCTGCAAAAGTAAAACAAAAACAAACAAACAAAAAACAAACCCCCAAAAAGCCCCAAGGGTTTAGAAAACATCTTTAGATTACAAATACATTCAATGTAAACTTGAATATGTTGCTGAAGTTAATACTGTAATATGGCTCCTTATGAGACTGTACTAAGAGTCAAAGAATTCAAACTGCTAGACCAACTCTGACAATCTTAAGATATAATACAGGGGCCAGCAGGTGGTATGGTGGCTAAAGTGCTGGACACTCCCACATGGCTGACCACGGTTGGAGTCTCGGACCTGGTGGCTTGCTTTCTCACTTTCCCTCTCTTGTTCTCTGTGTCTCTCTCTGGTCAAATTAAAATAAATGAATGAATAAATAAATAAAATAAAATAAATAAGTCTTAGCCATTATGCTAACTGCTGATTCCTATTTATTTTATTTTAATTTGACCAGAGAGGGACAGAGAGAGAAAGAGAGAGAGAAAGAGAGAGAGAGAGAGAGAGAGAAAGTGAGCCACCAGGTCCAGGACTCAAACTGCAGTTGGCCATATGGGAGTCCAGCACCCTTATCCATCATGCCATCTGTCGGCCCCTGATTTTTAATATTTCTTTCTTTCTTTCTTTCTTTCTTTCTTTCTTTCTTTCTTTTTTTTTCGAGAGGTTTCGCTATATGGCGTGTGCACTCGCCAGACAGACAGAGAGAGACAGAGACAGAAAGCGAGAAATCACCCCCAGGGGGGATGGTCACGCCGCAATCCCTTCTCTTCCATTCTCCTCTCAGGATCCTGGGCACGCATGCACATGCGCCCGGCGTGAGTTTTAAGCCGCCGGGTCCGGGATGCAAACCGCGGTCGACTACGTGGGAGTCCAGCGACATAGCCATCACGCTAACTGCTGGTTCCCAATATTTCTTTTTCTTAAAAAGATTTGTTTCTTTATTTCCATTTGTTATTATTTTTACATTTTTGACCAGACAGACAGCGAAAGGGAAAACCTGAGAAAGGAAACCACCAGGTCTAAGACTTGAAGCACAGTCGTCCATGTGGGAATTCAGTGCTTTTAACTACCACGCCACCTGCCAGCCCCATGATTTTTAGTATTTCTAATTTTTTTCTTTTTTTACAGTTTTGATATGGGACACATGTACTTACTAGATAGACAAGAAACAGAGAGGAAGTGAGAAATAATTCTCCATGGGGGATGGCCATGCTGTAATTCCTCCTCTTCCATTCTCTTGGGATTTTGGGCACGTATACACAAACACACTGCATTTTTCAAGCCACTAAGTCCAGGACTCGAACTGCGTAGTTAGCCTTATGGGATCCAGCCACCTTACCCACCATGCAACTGCTGGTCCCCATATTTCTAACATTTAAAAAAATTATTTGTTTAATTCCATTTGTTATTATTATTTTTTAATTTGACCAGACAGAATTAGAGAGAGAGAGAGAGAGAAAAGGAAAGGGAGAAATCAAGCCGGCAGGTCTGGGACATGAACCGTGGTTGGCCATGCAGGAATCCAGAACCTCTAATCACCATGCCACCTGCCAGCCCCATATTTGTAACATTTTTTACTAACCTTTATAGTCAATAGAAGTTGTTCAGATGCTGGAACTTCTTGCTGTGAATTTACTTCAATTTTTCTTCTCCTTAACTAGGATTAAATTAAGTATCTTAAGATCTTTAAGGTTTGTTTCTTAAGCACAAATAAAATTTCTATACTCAGAAGATCACAAACTAGCCCACTGTCACAATGGGGCCTTAACGCCACACACACAGGCCATACACTAACTGCCTGTGTCACTTTCGGATAAAGCCTCAAACTGCTCTATCATTAAGATCAAAGCTGTAAGAGTGATATGAATCATTAAAATATTTCAGTCTTTTTCTGTTTTTCAATGTCTGCACTAACATTTTTATTTCTTTCTCTCCTTTTTTTTCCCCGACAGAGGGCATGTACAGTCCCCAGAGAGAGGAGAACACGCCCCTGTGGGGAAGGTCATGCCGAAACCCTTTCTCTACCGTTTCTCCTTCCCTTTGGGATTCTGGGTATGCACACATGCACACTCGGTGTGTTTCTGAAGCCTTCAGGTCTGGGACATGAACTTGGCAGTTGGCCATGTGTATCCTGCCGCCTTAACACCACCACCACAAGCAGGCACTTTGTTTCTTTTCTTTCATTTTCTTTCGGTTTATTTATTTATTCCACTGAGCAAGAGAAGGGAGGGAGAGGGAAACGGCAACCCCAAAAGGATCCCGACACACAATCTACCCAACTTGGCCAGGCTGGGTTAACAAGCACGCCTGGGTTATTCAGGGAGGTCTCTAAATGTGAACCACACCAGGGTCCAGTCCGTATCATTTCTTTCTCTTCCTTTCTTTCTCCTTTTCTTCGTTATCATTAAAGGTACATGTACTCGCCAGACAGGGAGAAAGAGAAGCAAGCACCCCCACATGGAGAATAGTCATGCTGCCATCTTTTTCCAGCTCTCTCTCCTTTGGGGATTTTGAGCACACTTGCACACGCACTCAGCGTTCTCGAGCTACTGGGTCTGGACAGGAACTGGGTGGTCGGCCATGGGGGATCTGGCTGCCTCAATCATCAGGCCACAGAGTTGGCCCCTGGCCGGAAACATTTCTATTTCAACTACTAAACTTACACTTCTCCTTGACTGCTCTGAGTTCTGTAATCCAAATCCACATGTCTGAGATGTTTCCCAGTTTACGAAATGGGGCACAGCGTGAGTGCCTAAGAAAACACAAAATACATCATTTTTGGAAGGTTTTAACCTGTTGGGATTCACCCAACAAAACAAACAATAAAAACAACCAGAATAAAAAACAACGCACAATTCAAGAGAGGCTTTAAAGTCCATGTAATTGCAATGATGGCCTTGGCTCGGCAAAACCTAATACAGTTCAATGCTGTCTGCCCAGCAACGTGGAGCCAACAGACAAAAATCTGAAATCTGTCATTTTTTTCATAAATGCCTTTTCCATAACTCTTTTAAGATCTCTGTATTACTAACTTTGCTGATGGATCTCCCATTGCTCCTCATGCCAGAGGACACTGGCACCGAGACACAGCAGAGCACCTCCACCTGCAGCACCGGCCGTGTGTACCGTTTACAAGGCCACCTGGGTCAAGGACGCTCCCCTACCCCCTTTTTAAATGTTAGAATGTTTTTTTAAATGTCACAGTATATGCACACCAGAGAGAGACAGAGACGGAGAGAGAGAGGGAGAGAAAGCACCTCCATGGGGAATGGTCACCCCATAAACCCTTCTCTTCCCCCTCCCTCCTCTGAGAGTTTTGGGCATGCATGCACATGTGCCCAGCATGTTTCTCACACAGCTGGGTCCAGGACTCAAATGACGCAGTCAGTCATGTGGGATCTGGTTACCTTAACCATCCAGCCATGGAGCCAGCCCAGGCCAAGGAAGATTTAATCAACAGTGACAAATTGCAAAATTAAGTATAGCCTCTCTAAATATTATAAAAGGCTGTGGAAATCCACATATAAACCTGGGAGCTAATAAAATGGGTTGTACGAATAAAGCAAATGTATAAGTAAGTTTCTACCTGGATCTTGACTGTGCTTGAGTTTTCCAAGAGCGCCCGCTAACGACGACACCTCACACTTGTATGGAATTACAGTTAGAAATTTCCCATGCAGCAGAAACAAATTTTCCCAATAATACCAGAGCTACAAAAAAAGTTATGAAAAACATAAGCACATTTTTTTCCTTCCAAGATCTGACTCCTCAGAGCCTTATAACTTGTAATGACAAAGTACTGTATGACCTATCTTAGCATAATGAAGAACAAGGCAAATGGAGCAACACCAATTCCAAGAAACCCTTACGTTCTTACAGTGGGATTGGATTACACAGCTATCGTTTTGCCCAAATCTGAATGAAGCATAATTAATGTTTTTCTTTGAAAGAAATTGAAAGCAACTTTAGTAAGGAGTACACGCAGAGCAGTTACTCCGGAGGTGGAGCAGCTCTGTGGGATGAGATGAGAGCGCAGTTTCGTACCCTGCTCAGGTGTCAGGGCCAGGGACGAAGCCTTAAGAAGAAGGGGAGAACTGTTAACTAAAAGGAAAGATGGTAGGACTCCCCAGAGTCAGGGCAGCCAAGTTTTTTTTCTTTTTTTTTCTGAGTTCTGTAAGCCAAGCCCACATCCCTAAGAAGCTACCCAGTTTACAAAATGGGGCACGGTGTAAGAAAACACAAAATACATCATTTCTGGAAAATCTGATCACTATTTAAAATGCATATTCTCATTATTACACATTTATTAACATAATTACCAAAGCTACTGTAACACGGGGAAGCAGTTATAAATACTAAGTGACAAAAGTGCTGGCCATGTGGGAGTCCACCACCTTCACTACCATGTTATCTGCTGGCCCCACTCTTGCCTGTATTTAAAAATGATCAGTAACATCCTTGGGAACCAGCAGTTAGCGTAATGGCTATGTCGCTGGACTCCCACACAGTTGACCATGGTTCACATCCCGGACCCGGTGGCTTAAAACTCACGCCGAGCGTGTGTGCGTGTGTGCCCAAGATCCCAAGAGGAGAATGGAGGAGAAGGGATTGCGGCGTGACCATCCCTCCTGAGGGGTGATTTCTTGCTTTCTGTCTCTATGTCTCTGTCTGTCTGGCGAGCGCACGCGCCCTATAGCAAAGACC